CCCCCCCTCCTCCCCTCTCTCACCTCCTCAAAGTCAGAGGGAGCAGACTCAGCTCTTCCTAAACCTATTACAAACCTCTGTATTTAATAAAAGTCGACTCCATTACAGCAGATAATGTTCTCCCAGAACCTGCTGCAATTCACACGTCTGAGGCCACAGGACTCTCTCTCTCTCCTCTCTCTCCTCTCTCCCCTCTCCCCTCTCTCCTCTCTCTCCTCTCTCCTCTCTCTCCTCTCTCTCCTCTCCTCTCTCTCCTCGCTCCTCTCTCTCCTCTCTCCTCTCTCTCCTCTCTCCTCTCTCCTCTCTCCTCTCTCTCCTCTCCCCTCTCTCCTCTCTCTCTCCTCTCTCTCCTCTCTCTCCTCTCTCTTCCCTCTCCTCTCTCTCCTCTCTCCTCTCTCCCCTCTCTCCTCTCTCTCCTCTCTCCCTCTCTCCTCTCTCTCCTCCTCCTCTCTCTCCTCTCTCCTCTCTCCCCTCTCTCCTCTCTCTCCTCTCTCCCTCTCTCCTCTCTCTCCTCTCTCTCCTCTCTCTCCCCTCTCCTCTCTCTCCTCTCTCTCCCCTCTCTCCTCTCTCTCCTATCTCCCTCTCTCTCCTCTCTCTCCCCTCTCTCCTCCTCCTCTCTCTCCTCTCTCTCCCCTCTCTCCCCTCTCTCCTCTCTCTCCTCCTCCTCTCTCTCCTCTCTCTCCTCCTCCTCTCTCTCCTCTCTCTCTCCTCTCTCTCCTCTCTCTCCTGATGATGGAGAGCAGTCAGACTGACCTGTAACTGTGAGGAGATGATCCTGATGTAAATCAGTCTGAGACCATTCATTTGACTGAGACTTTGCATCCCACAGTTACCACGGCAACAGGGAGCGTCCCCTGGTCTCTGTCTACTCTACTCTACTGTACTCTGCTCTACCCTACCCTACTCTACTCTTCTTTCCCCTGATAGGCAGTGTTTCCTGGTAACCAGAACCAGGTCCTTCTTTAGTCCCCCTCGGTCCTGGTTCTATCCAAGCCGAGCTGGTGCTGAAGTGTTCTGACTGACCAGAATACTGGTTTGTTGTGGGTTGGTTGCTAAGATACAGTACCAGATAGTAATGGAGCTCTTTGCGAAAATTCACTGTGGTAGACCCGGCCGCTGCCGCCAGATCTACAAGCTTGCTCATCCTCTACTCATTACACCAGCAAAACGCCCACATCTAATCCACCAGGACAGCAAGTTAAAAGCCGGAGACGCCCACTTCCCGGCCTTCTGAAGTTTGCAAAGCCTCCGCCGCCCCACCTCCTCCTTCTCTCATCGAAGCGTGCTTGCCTACTGCCTCTGCCGTCACCAGTGCCTAGGCCCCGGGGGGGATTATGCGCGCGAGCAAGCGCCGCACTCAACAGCATCTCTCCCGGGCCTAGGGCGCCAAACATACTCAATCAACAAACTTCTAACTGCATTTTCCCTCTTGGGTCTCTCCAAAGTGAAATGTGTAATGGAAACACAACCAGGAAGAGTTGGGACCAGTCTCTGTGCTCCTCAGAGTCCCAGCAGGAGTCCAGTTCCTGTGCTCCTCAGAGTCTCCTGCTCAGAGTCCCAGCAGGAGGCCAGTCCCTGTGCTCCTCAGAGTCCCAGCAGGAGGCCAGTCCGTGTGCTCCTCAGAGTCCCAGCAGAAGGCCAGTCCCTGTGCTCCTCAGAGTCCCAGCAGGAGGCCAGGCCCTGTGCTCCTCAGAGTCCCAGCAGGAGGCCAGTCCCTGTGCTCCTCAGAGTCCCAGCAGGAGGCCAGTCCCTGTGCTCCTCAGAGTCTCCTCCTCAGAGTCCCAGCAGGAGGCCAGTCCCTGTGCTCCTCAGAGTCCCAGCAGGAGTCCAGTCCTTGTGCTCCTCAGAGTCCCAGCAGGAGGCCAGTCCCTGTGCTCCTCAGAGTCCCAGCAGGAGGCCAGTCCCTGTGCTCCTCAGAGTCCCAGCAGGAGGCCAGTCCCTGTGCTCCTCAGAGTCCCAGCAGGAGGCCAGTTCCTGTGCTCCTCAAAGTCCCAGCAGGAGGCCAGTCCCTGTGCTCCTCAGAGTCCCGGCAGGAGGCCAGTCCCTGTGCTCCTCAGAGTCCCAGCAGGAGTCCAGTTCCTGTGCTCCTCAGAGTCTCCTGCTCAGAGTCCCAGCAGGAGGCCAGTCCCTGTGCTCCTCAGAGTCCCAGCAGGAGGCCAGTCCCTGTGCTCCTCAGAGTCCCAGCAGAAGGCCAGTCCCTGTGCTCCTCAGACTCCCAGCAGGAGGCCAGTCCCTGTGCTCCTCAGAGTCCCAGCAGGAGGCCAGTCCCTGTGCTCCTCAGAGTCCCAGCAGGAGGCCAGTCCCTGTGCTCCTCAGAGTCTCCTCCTCAGAGTCCCAGCAGGAGGCCAGTCCCTGTGCTCCTCAGAGTCCCAGCAGGAGTCCAGTCCCTGTGCTCCTCAGAGTCCCAGCAGGAGTCCAGTCCCTGTGCTCCTCAGAGTCCCAGCAGGAGGCCAGTCCCTGTGCTCCTCAGAGTCCCAGCAGGAGGACAGTCCCTGTGCTCCTCAGAGTCCCAGCAGGAGGCCAGTCCCTGTGCTCCTCAGAGTCCCAGCAGGAGGCCAGTCCCTGTGCTCCTCAGAGTCCCAGCAGGAGGCCAGTCCCTATGCTCCTCAGAGTCCCAGCAGGAGGCCAGTCCCTGTGCTCCTCAGAGTCCCAGCAGGAGTCCAGTCCCTGTGCTCCACAGAGTCTCCTGCTCAGAGTCCCAGCAGGAGGCCAGTCCCTGTGCTCCTCAGAGTCCCAGCAGGAGTCCAGTCCCTGTGCTCCTCAGAGTCCCAGCAGGAGTCCAGTCCCTGTGCTCCTCAGAGTCCCAGCAGGAGGCCAGTCCCTGCGCTCCTCAGAATCCCAGCAGGAGAGTAGAGTACAGTAGAGTACAGTAGAGTAGAGTAGAGTACAGTAGAGTAGAGTAGAGTAAAGTAGAGTAGAGTAGAGTAGAGTAGAGTAGAGTAGAGTAGAGTAGAGTAGAGTAGAGTAGAGTAGAGTAGAGTAGAGTAGAGCACAGTAGAGTAGAGCACAGTACAGAGTAGAGTAGAGCACAGTAGAGTAGAGCACAGTACAGAGTAGAGTAGAGTAGAGTAGAGTAGAGTAGAGCACAGTACAGAGTAGAGTAGAGTAGAGTAGAGTAGAGTAGAGTAGAGTAGAGCAGAGCACAGTAGAGTAGAGCACAGTACAGAGTAGAGTAGAGCACAGTAGAGTAGAGCACAGTACAGAGTAGAGTAGAGTAGAGTAGAGTAGAGCACAGTAGAGTAGAGCACAGTACAGAGTAGAGTAGAGCATAGTAGAGTAGAGCACAGTACAGAGTAGAGTAGAGTAGAGTAGAGTAGAGTAGAGTAGAGTAGAGTAGAGCAGAGCACAGTAGAGTAGAGCACAGTACAGAGTAGAGTAGAGCACAGTAGAGTAGAGCACAGTACAGAGTAGAGTAGAGTAGAGTAGAGCACAGTAGAGTAGAGCACAGTACAGAGTAGAGTAGAGCACAGTAGAGTAGAGCACAGTACAGAGTAGAGTAGAGTTGAGTAGAGTAGAGTAGAGTAGAGTAGAGCAGAGCACAGTAGAGTAGAGCACAGTACAGAGTAGAGTAGAGCACAGTAGAGTAGAGCACAGTACAGAGTAGAGTAGAGTAGAGTAGAGCACAGTAGAGTAGAGCACAGTACAGAGTAGAGTAGAGCACAGTAGAGTAGAGCACAGTACAGAGTAGAGTAGAGTTGAGTAGAGTAGAGTAGAGTAGAGTATCAGGAGAGAAACACAGCACTGTTAAAAGCTACTTCACATTTCCCCTGAGTCATCATTCCAGACACAGATGGAGCTAATAGCGCTAACAGGATAGCGCAAATAAAGCTAACGGGATATAGCTAGCAGCTAACAGGATAGCGCCTGTTAGCTTGCAGCACTCAGGGATATGACCAGAAAACCTTGGTGACAATTATAAGGAGTATAAATGTGTGAGAGGTCAGCGGTGAAGAGAGAGAGCAGAGAGGGGCCGGGCTCGGGCTCGTCCTGATCCAGTTTGAGACAGAGACCGTAATGAAATGGCTCTTGTTTCCATCTCGACCTCGGCACCTTCCGGAACGTTCTTCAGATTACAGAGAAACAGAGGTGACCATTTGCCTACAGGAAGATGGTCTGTTTAGGACATGTTAATGTGAGCCAGGACCAGATGGGCCAGGACCAGAGAGAGAGACCAGAGAGAGAGACCAGAGAGAGAGACCAGGGAGAGAGACCAGGGAGAGAGACCAGAAAGAGAGACCAGAGAGAGAGACCAGAGAGAGACCAGAGAGAGACCAGAGAGAGACCAGAGAGAGAGACCAGAGAGAGAAAGACCAGAGAGAGAGACCAGAGAGAGAGAGACCAGAGAGAGAGACCAGAGAGAGAGAGAGACCAGAGAGAGACCAGAGAGAGAGAGTCTACACAGACCAGAGAGAGACCAGAGAGAGAGACCAGAGAGAGAGAGACCAGAGAGAGAGACCAGAGAGAGACCAGAGAGAGAGAGTCTACACAGACCAGAGAGAGACCAGAGAGAGAGACCAGAGAGAGAGACTAGATACAGACCAGAGAGAGGGGACATCAGAGAGAAAGACCAGAGAGAGAGACCAGAGAGAGAGACTAGAGAGAGAGACTAGATACAGACCAGAGAGAGGGGATATCAGAGAGAAAGAGAGAGAGACCCTCTGAAGAGAGAGGTTACAGACAGTCATTTTGTTTCCTCTTAATAAAATAATAATATTTATTATATGACTTGGATCGTGCGCTCTGATTGGCTGATTTGCGGTCTGAAATTTTCCCATCTCAGACCGTTACCATGACGATCGGTCCTCAGCGAGTATCAGATTTGATTTCTTTCCTCGGTAAAAAAGAAATAATGAGCGACTGGAGCATTCTCAGTGATTTCTGTTTTGGACGAGTTTGAAGAACCAGAGGAAGTAACAACTACGAGAACACAACTCCAACAGTTTACAGACGAGACTTCGTTACAGACTTCATTACAGACTTCGTTACAGACTTTGTTACAGACTTCATTACAGACTTCGTTACAGACTTCCTTACAGACTTCATTACAGACTTCGTTACAGACTTCGTTACAGACTTTGTTACAGACTTCGTTACAGACTTCGTTACAGACTTCATTACAGACTTCGTTACAGACTTCCTTACAGACTTCGTTACAGACTTCATTACAGACTTCATTACAGACTTCGTTACAGACTTCATTACAGACTTCGTTACAGACTTCATTACAGACTTCGTTACAGACTTCGTTACAGACTTCATTACAGACTTCGTTACAGACTTCCTTACAGACTTCGTTACAGACTTCGTTACAGACTTCGTTACAGACTTTGTTACAGACTTCGTTACAGACTTCGTTACAGACTTCATTACAGACTTCGTTACAGACTTCGTTACAGACTTCATTACAGACTTCATTACAGACTTCGTTACAGACTTCATTACAGACTTCGTTACAGACTTCATTACAGACTTCGTTACAGACTTCGCTACAGACTTCATTACAGACTTTGTTACAGACTTCGTTACAGACTTCATTACAGACTTCGTTACAGACTTCGCTACAGACTTCATTACAGACTTCATTACAGACTTCGTTACAGACTTCGCTACAGACTTCATTACAGACTTCATTACAGACTTCGTTACAGACTTCGTTACAGACTTCGTTACAGACTTCATTACAGACTTCGTTACAGACTTCGTTACAGACTTCGTTACAGACTTTGTTACAGACTTCGTTACAGACTTCGTTACAGACTTCGTTACAGACTTCATTACAGACTTCGTTACAGACTTCCTTACAGACTTCGTTACAGACTTCGTTACAGACTTCGTTACAGACTTTGTTACAGACTTCGTTACAGACTTCGTTACAGACTTCATTACAGACTTCGTTACAGACTTCCTTACAGACTTCGTTACAGACTTCGTTACAGACTTTGTTACAGACTTCGTTACAGACTTCGTTACAGACTTCGTTACAGACTTCGTTACAGACTTCATTACAGACTTCGTTACAGACTTCCTTACAGACTTCATTACAGACTTCGTTACAGACTTCGTGACAGACTTTGTTACAGACTTCGTTACAGACTTCGTTACAGACTTCATTACAGACTTCGTTACAGACTTCCTTACAGACTTCGTTACAGACTTCGTTACAGACTTTGTTACAGACTTCGTTACAGACTTCGTTACAGACTTCATTACAGACTTCGTTACAGACTTCATTACAGACTTCGTTACAGACTTCATTACAGACTTCATTACAGACTTCGTTACAGACTTCATTACAGACTTCGTTACAAACTTCATTACAGACTTTGTTACAAACTTCATTACAGACTTCGTTACAGACTTCGTTACAGACTTTGTTACAGACTTCGTTACAGATCAGAAAGGTAGAAACAGGACCAGGAAAACCAAGACATGAACATCACTAAATATGTGTTTAGTTGAAACCGATCGATATTTGCATAAATTAAAAATAGTCAAAATAAACATTTGTTAACGGCTCGGTCTGACCGTGTTTAATAATTATAATAATCCTTATTATTTTATACAAATAATGTGTAAAAATTTTTCTTTCGAGGATCATCATCAAAGACATCTGTGGTCTTTGAAGTCAGACTTTCACCTGCTACACACAGACACACACACAGAGACACAGACACACACAGAGACACACACACACACAGAGACACACACAGAGAGACACACACACACACAGAGACACACACACAGACACACACACAAACACACACACAGACACACACAGACACACACAGAGAGACACACAGACACACAGAGACACAGACACACACACTTCTCTAAGGCCTCTGCTCTGACTAATTATAGCAGTCTCGCTCTCTCTGGTCTCTCTCTCTTTGGTCTCTCTCTGGTCTCTCTTTGGTCTCTCTCTGGTCTCTCTCTGGTCTCTCTCTGGTCACTCTCTGGTCTCTCTCTGGTCTCTCTGTGGTCTCTCTCTGGTCTCTCTCTGGTCTCTCTCTGGTCACTCTCTGGTCTCTCTCTGGTCTCTCTGTGGTCTCTCTGTGGTCTCTCTCTCTCTGGTCTCTCTCTGGTCTCTCTCTGGTCTCTCTCTCTCTGGTTTCTCTGTCTGGTGTCTCTCTACTCTCTCTCTCTTTTCTCTCTCTGTGGTCTCTCACTCTGGTCTCTCACTCTGGTCTCTCACTCTGGTCTCTCTATGGTCTCTCTCTGGTCTCTCTATTGTATCTTTCTGGTCTCCTTCTGGTCTCTTTGATCTTGTTCTGGGGTCAGGATCAGGTGAAGTTCAACAACAGGACGATGTCTGAGCCGCAGATCCACATCCGCCTCAGACTCCCCTCTCCAGCCTCCCCCCTCTTGCCTCCCCCCTCTCCCCCGTTCAGGAGTTAAGCTTTCAAAACACAGCTCTAATTAGCACTTGTTAGCACGGTTCAGAGAGTGAGAAGTCAGGGCACGTACCAGGAGACCTCAGAACCTCTATGGTCTCTCTCTGGTCTCTCTCTGGTCTCTCTCTGGTCTCTCTGTGGTCTCTCTGGTCTCTCTCTGGTCTCTCTGTGGTCTCTCTCTGGTCTCTCTCTGGTCTCTCTGGGGTCTCTCTCTGGTCTCTCTCTGGTCTCTCTGTGGTCTCTTTCTGGTCTCCCTCTGGTCTCGCTCTGGTCTCACGGTGCATTAGTGTTCCCCCTCGTTGGCCTCTGATCCATCACATCCTTCTCCAAATCTCCCACTTTTACATCTGACCTGGCCTTCAACAGGATCCAGGATAATCCCACTGAGTCTGAGGCCAGAGCCACACAGGGGGAGGGGCTACACCAGGAGGGGAGGGGCTACACCATACTCCGACTCGTGCCCTTCTTCTACTGTTTCCTTCGTGCTTTTGTCTGACACTGTATTTAACACTGTAGAACCAGGACCGAGAGGGGCTGAAGAAGGACCGGGTGTCTTTCTGGTCTCTCTCTGGTCTCTCTCTGGTCTGTCTCTGGTCTGTCTCTGGTCTCTCTCTGGTCTGTCTCTGGTCTCTCTGGTCTCTCTCTGGTCTCTCTCTGGTCTCTCTCTGGTCTCTCTCTGGTCTCTCTCTGGTCTCTCTCTGGTCTCTTTCTGGTCTCTCTCTGGTCTCTCTCTGGTCTCTATCTGGTCTCTCTCTGGTCTTTCAGACTGTAGCCACGTGTTTACTCCAACAACATCATAACCTACTCCAGGACCTAGAGTAGAGGAGAGTATAATGGAGACACAGTCTGTCTCTGGTAGAATGATCTACTGTCAGACTGTACATGAGTCCCACTGTCAGACTGTACATGAGTCCCACTGTCGGACTGTACATGAGTCCGACTGTCAGACTGTAGTTGACTACAGTCTGACAGTGGTAAACATGGTACATACTCATGTACAGTCTGACAGTAGTAAACATACTCATGTACAGTCTGACAGTACTAAACATGGTACATACTCATGTACAGTCTGACAGTAGTAAACACGGTACATACTCATGTACAGTCTGACAGTAGTAAACACGGTACATACTCATGTACACGGTACATACTCATGTACAGTCTGACAGTAGTAAACACGGTACATACTCATGTACAGTCTGACAGTAGTAAACATACTCATGTACAGTCTGACAGTACTAAACATGGTACATACTCATGTACAGTCTGACAGTAGTAAACACGGTACATACTCATGTACAGTCTGACAGTAGTAAACACGGTACATACTCATGTACAGTCTGACAGTAGTAAACACGGTACATACTCATGTACAGTCTGACAGTAGTAAACATACTCATGTACAGTCTGACAGTAGTAAACATGGTACATACTCATGTACAGTCTGACAGTAGTAAACATGGTACATACTCATGTACAGTCTGATAGTAGTAAACATGGTACATACTCATGTACAGTCTGACAGTGGTAAATACGGTACATACTCATGTACAGTCTGACAGTAGTAAACATACTCATGTACAGTCTGACAGTAGTAAACATGGTACATACTCATGTACAGTCTGACAGTAGAAACATGGTACATACTCATGTACAGTCTGATAGTAGTAAACATACTCATGTACAGTCTGACTGTAGTAAACACGGTACATACTCATGTACAGTCTGACAGTAGTAAACATACTCATGTACAGTCTGACAGTAGTAAACATACTCATGTACAGTCTGACAGTAGTAAACACGGTACATACTCATGTACAGTCTGACAGTAGTAAACACGCAGCTACAGTCTAGTGCTGATGTTTGACTGGACTCGGTGAATAATTGAAGAGTTTGTTACTTAAAGAGGCTCCGGTGACAGACGCCACCGCAGCCTTTTAGCATCGCAGGTTTTAGCGACATTAGCGACCCTCGCGCGGCGCTAAAAGCTAACGTGAGGCTGACCCCGCGACACGGCTTTAAGGAGCACAGCTGTAATTGTGTTGTGGTCACAGAGAGCGCTGAGGCGAGGCTGAGCCCCCGGGGACGACCCGGGACTCTCTCCAGCTCTAAATATGGCTCAGGGGCCGGAGAGTGGTCCCAGGACGATGGTCTGAGGACCATGTGCGTCAGTCTGACCTCTGCTTCAGGAGCCGCACATCCACAGATTCTCACTTTGACGAGAAAAACCAGGAGACAGGACTTCACTGAACTGGGAGAAAAGTTACAAAGAAGTCTCTCTGTGGTCTCTCTCTGGTCTCTCTCTGGTCTGTCTCTGGTCTCTCTCTGGTCTCTCTCTCTGGTCTCTCTCTGGTCTCTCTCTCTGGTCTCTCTCTGGTCTCTCTCTGGTCTCTCTCTGGTCTCTCTCTGGTCTCTCTCTGGTCTCTCTCTGGTCTCTCTCTCGCCTCTCTCTGGTCTCTCTCTCGCCTCTCTCTCGCCTCTCTCTGGTCTCTCTGGTCTCTCTCTGGTCTCTGGTCTCTGGTCTCTCTCTGGTCTCTCTCTGGTCTCTGGTCCCTGGTCTCTCTCTGGTCTCTCTCTGGTCTCTCTCTGGTCTCTGGTCCCTGGTCTCTCTCTGATCTCTCTGGTCTCTCTCTGGTCTCTGGTCTCTCTCTGGTCTCTCTCTGGTCTCTGGTCCCTGGTCTCTCTCTGGTCTCTCTCTGGTCTCTGGTCCCTGGTCTCTCTCTGGTCTCTGGTCTCAGACAGAGTTTTGCTCTTAGCCTGTGTATCTGTGTGGTGTGATTCTGTGAGTGTGCTGCGGGGCCCTTGGGTGCTGAGGGGACTGGGGTGCTAACAGGGGCCCTCGGGGGGGCCCTCGGGAGGGTCATGTGCAAAGAGCTGCTGTTAGAGCCCCCCTCCCTCAGACCCCTGCCCTCTCCTTCAACACGACACCATGTAGGAGTGTGACATCACCACAGAGTTGGCCACAGCAGAGGCCGCTTTGAACACAAGCTGGAGCTCTCTGGTCTCTCTTTGGTCTCTCTCTGGTCTCTCTCTCTGGTCTCTCTCTGGTCTCTCTGAGGTCTCTCTCTGGTCTCTCTCTGCTCTCTCTCTGCTCTCTCTCTCTGGTCTACCTCTTCTCTCTAGCAGCAGTAGCAGTAGTAGCAGTAGTAGCAGCAGTAGTAGCAGTAGCAGTAGTAGTAGTAGCAGTAGCAGTAGCAGTAGTAGCAGCAGTAGCAGTAGTAGCAGCAGTAGCAGTAGCAGCAGTAGCAGAAGCAGTAGTAGCAGTAGTAGCAGCAGTAGCAGTAGCAGCAGTAGCAGAAGCAGTAGCAGCAGTAGCAGAAGCAGTAGTAGCAGTAGTAGCAGCAGTAGTAGCAGTAGCAGTAGTAGTAGTAGCAGTAGCAGTAGCAGTAGTAGCAGCAGTAGCAGCAGTAGCAGTAGTAGCAGCAGTAGCTGTTAGATACTGAAATGACCACGGGATACCAGCGTGTTGTAGGCTTGGACTTTACTGCATAACAACAACGTTACATTCACTTCCTGTAGTGTCAAGGTACGTAGGCAGACAACATAACAGACTCAGACCATATAGAACGATGTCAGAGCAACCGATGTCAATACTCTACAACTCCTCCTTTTCTAGATAACAAGTACAGTAAGCAGTATAACCTTTACCACTTAAAATAGAACTAAAGTGATACTAATGCAACAGCAGTTTACTTAAAGGGATAGTCTCTTGGGAGGTCTGTGAGTACGCATTGGATAACGTCTCTCAGGTGTAACCGCCGGGCTCGCCCCAGCTCTAGGGAGACCAATGCGTGGGGTCAGGGGCGGACCAGGGCTTGGCAGACACCCCATGTCGCTGTCGGAGCTTTGCAGGTTCCGGCTGTCTTGGCCTGCGGTGGAGCTAGGCAGGCTCATGGTCTCTGGAGTAGCGCTGGCAGTTGGCAGGCTCAGGTCCCCCTGAGCAGCGATGAATGAAGCAGCAGGATCCACCATCTCCGCTGCAGTGCGTACCTCTGACCCCCGTAGTTGATCAAGGTGGCGTCGCCAGATAGTGTCCGGAGCTACTTCTACGGTTAGGACAAGGGCCCTTGCCTCTCTCTGATTATACCGGGAATCCACTTGTGTTCTCCACGGTAATCCCTGGCAAGCACAGTCTGTCCAACGAACGCACATAGCTACTATGTCTACAGTTCTCAATATGAAAGAGAATGAAATGGACATTACTAGCCAACTTCCTCGGTCATGACATTCGCATCCACAGACAATATTGCAGACTACCAGAGGGGGCGCTGGAGCTGGCCAAAATCAGCAAAGTGTTAATGGCCATGGAGCAGGGAAGAGTGACGGAATTCAAAGGAAAGAGCCTCGACCAGATACAAATTGAGCCTGAAGGTAATTCTTGATATTATTAAAATATGTATAATTTTTTTCCCCTAAAGGCCACTTGTATTTTTATTTTCTGTGCGACAGGGAGAGCAGTAGAGATTCTCTCACAAACGGACGGGCTAAAAGAAACTTCAAGCGGAGAACCTTCAACCATTCATCCAGATGCACCCCATGGTAGTGGCAGTGCCCCTTCTGGTAAGTGTACCAGGTGGGGGATTACAGCCAGGCTGCTTGGTCCTAACCCTGGGAGTGTATATTGCTAATATATTTTTATTTCTCTCCCTAGAACGTTAGAGAAAGCCATGGTCTGCATCTGAGGTGAAGGCTGTGGAGAAGACCATGACGCCTTTCATACAGACTGGAAAAGTCCCTGGGAAGTCTCACTGCCTGGCCTGGCCTGGCCTGGCCTGCATTAATGCCTCACCAGATGACCTTAGACATCGGACATGGAGTGGCATAAAATTCTATCACTGCAATTCGAAAAAAAAAATCAAAAATAAAATTCCTTTAAAAGAGTTGTTTGTTTTCTATTGACTGTTTTGTATTACTTAAAGTAGTCCCAGTAAAAAAGATTATGTCTATGGGTCCCATTCTGAACGGCCCTGTCAAAGAGGACCTACCAGGTAACAAAATCGTGTGTGTGTGTGTGTGTGTGTGTGGGAACCTCCACAGAGCTGCTGAGAGGAGGATAAACACGGCGCCACTTCTTATCTCTCACTTTTACTCTGAAACAACACTGTCAAGTAATTAGGAAGCCCTATATATGTGTCTCCGGTCTCTCTCTGGTCTCTCTCTGGTCTCTCTCTGGTCTCTCTGGTCTCTCTGGTCTCTCATGGTCTCTCTCATGTCTCTCATGGTCTCTCTCATGTCTCTCTCTGGTCTCTCTCTGGTCTCTCTCTGGTCTCTTTCTGGTCCCTCATGGTCTCTCTCTGGTCTCTCTTTGGTCTCTCTGGTCTCTCTCTGGTCTCTCATGGTCTCTCTCTGGTCTCTCTCTGGTCTCTCATGGTCTCTCTCTGGTCTCTCATGGTCCCTCTCATGTCTCTCTCTGGTCTCTCTCTGGTCTCTCTCTGGTCTCTCTCTGGTCCCTCATGGTCTCTCTCTGGTCTCTCTCTGGTCTCTCATGGTCTCTCTCTGGTCTCTCTCTGGTCTCTCTCTGGTCTCTCTCTGGTCCCTCTCTGGTCTCTCTCTGGTCTCTCTCTGGTCCCTCATGGTCTCTCTCTGGTCTCTCTCTGGTCACTCTGGGGTCTCGCTGGTCTCTCTCTGGTCTCTCTCTGGTCTCTCATGGTCTCTCTCTGGTCTCTCTCTGGTCTCTCATGATCCCTCTCATGTCTCTCTCTGGTCTCTCTCTGGTCCCTCATGGTCTCTCTCTGGTCTCTCTCTGGTCTCTCTCTGGTCTCTCTCTGGTCTCTCTCTGGTCTCTCTCTGGTCTCTCCTGGTCCTCATGGTCTCTCTCTGGTCTCTCTCTGGTCTCTCTCTGGTCTCTCTGGTCTCTCATGGTCTCTCTCTGGTCTCTCTCTGGTCTCTCATGGTCCCTCTCATGTCTCTCTCTGGTCTCTCTCTGGTCCCTCATGGTCTCTCTCTGGTCTCTCTCTGGTCTCTCTCTGGTCTCTCATGGTCTCTCATGGTATCTCTCTGGTCTCTCTCTGGTCTCTCATGGACTCTCTCTGGTCTCTCATGGTCTCTCTCTGGTCTCTCTCTGGTCTCTCTCTGGTCTCTCATGGTCTCTCATGGTCTCTCTCTGGTCTCTCTTGTTCTCTCATGGTCTCTCTCTGGTCTCTCTCTGGTCTCTCTGGTCTCTCTCTGGTCTCTCTCTGGTCTCTCTCTGGTCTCTCTCTGGTCTCTCCCTGGTCCTCTGGTCTCTCTCTGGTCTCTCTCTGGTCTCTCTCTGGTCTCTCATGGTCTCTCTCTGGTCTCTCTCTGGTCTCTCATGGTCTCTCTCATGTCTCTCTCTGGTCTCTCTCTTGTCTCTCATGGTCTCTCTCTGGTCTCTCATGGTCTCTCTCTGGTCTCTCTGGTCTCTCTCTGGTCTCTCTCTGGTCTCTCATGGTCTCTCTCTGGTCTCTCTCTGGTCTCTCTCTGGTCTCTCTCTGGTCTCTCTCTGGTCTCTCTCTGGTCTCTCATGGTCTCTCTCTGGTCTCTCTCTGGTCTCTCATGGTCTCTCTCTGGTCTCTCTCTGGTCTCTCATGGTCTCTCAAGGTCTCTCTCTGGTCTCTCTCTGGTCTCTCTGGTCTCTCATGGTCTCTCTCTGGTCTCTCTCTGGTGTCTCTATGGTCTCTCTGGTCTCTCATGGTCTCTCTCTGGTCTCTCTCCGGTCTCTCATGGTCTCTCTCTGGTCTCCCTCTGAAACAGGGGAGTCCTTTCAACCAGCGTCATTCCGGACCTGTCAGACCTCTGAAGCTAAGCAGGGCAGGGCTAGGTTAGTACTGTGATGGGAGACCCCTGAAGCTAAGCAGGGTAAGGGTTAGGACGGGGGGAGCAGAGTAGAGCAGAGCAGAGTATTCTCAGTGGGGTCTGGACCCAGGTCTGACACATGTTTCAAGTATGAGGCTGTGATAAGGCTCCTCCCATGATGCTTTGCTGCTGCAGGCCGTGATAAGGCTCCTCCCATGATGCTTTGCGGCGTGAGTTCCCAGGCCGTGACAACTCTGGCGACAGGCCTATCTGACGCTCTGACCCTTTTCAAGTCGCCGCCTCACAGCCGCAGATACACCCCGGCTCCAGGCCTGGATAAGGGGGTGCAGGGGGCAGCAGGGGAGGGGTGAGGGGGCAGCAGGGGAGGTGATGAGGGGGCAGCAGGGGAGGGATGCAGCGGCAGAGAGAGGGCTGTAATCTCCGTCTCGGCTCCATAAACACCACAGAGAGTCTGAGGAACAGATTACAGCCTCATGATGTCACGGCGTCTCCACGACTGCACCGTTATCATACTCACATGCAGAGACTGTGTACGGATGCTAAGGCTAGCTCAATGCTAACACGCTAGCTCAATAAAGCCCAACAGGGAAGTGCTCATTGGGAAGTTTGCCGCCTATTGACTTCCATGTTGACTTCCTCTCTGGTTTCTCTCTGGTCTCTCTCTGGTCTCTCTCTGGTCTCTCTCTGGTCTCCCTCTGGTCTCCCTCTGGTCTCTCTCTGGTCTCCCTCTGGTCTCCCTCTGGTCTCTCTCTCTGGTCTCTCTCTGGTCTCTCTCTGGGGTCTCTCTGGTCTCCCTCTGGTCTCCCTCTAGTCCGTATCTCTGTTTAGAGTCTACATTTCTGTGATACCAGTGTTAGTATTCCTCTGGTGTCTGTGACTGTGTTTATGGTCCTCCTCTGGACCTGACACTGACCATCAAAGGACAGCGCTAAATATTTAAATTACAATCCTTCCTTTAGACTGTTGGACCAGGTCCAGGATCAGGTCCGAGGCTCCAGGAGAAGGTATGGATACTGCACTGGTTTGATCTGAGTCTGAACCAGACCCAGGGTCTTACTTTAAGACTATTTAGACTCAGTGGTCCCTGGTCCCAGAGACCAGAGAGAGACCAGAGAGAGACCAGAGAGAGACCGGAGAGAGACCGGAGAGAGACCAGAGAGAGACCAGAAAGAGACCAGAGAGAGACCAGAGAGAGACCAGAGAGAGACCAGAGAGAGACCAGAGAGAGACCGGAGAGAGACCAGAGAGAGACCGGAGAGAGCGACCAGAGAGACACAAAAACCAGTGAAACACCATGAAGGGTGAACCCTGTTGCTGTGAGGCCCTCTGTCCTCGACACAAACAAAGTCCCGCCTCCTTCTGCATTTCCTGTGATTGACACCAGCGTCCGCCGCTCTAACGCCTCCTCAATCACGGTGCTTTATGGTGCGAGGCGACAGGTCCAGGCCTCACACCAGGGCTCAGACTGGTCCTGCTCTTCCGAACAACAACAGGTCTCACTGGTCTCACTTTCTCTGGTTCAGGACCAGAGGAAGAAGGATGTCGTTTTAGTTTGTGGAGACTTCCTGTGTGTCCGGACCACCCTGAGAAAACACTACAGAGACCAGAGCGAGACCAGAGGGAGACCAGAGAGAGGGACCAGAGAGAGGGACCAGAGAGAGACCAGAGAGAGGGACCCGAGAGAGACCAGAGAGAGACCAGAGAGAGGGACCAGAGAGAGGGACCAGAGAGAGACCAGAGAGAGGGACCCGAGAGAGACCAGAGAGAGACCAGAGAGAGACCAGAGAGAGACCAGAGAGAGACCAGAGAGAGAGACCAGAGAGAGGGACCAGAGAGGGACCAGAGAGAGGGACCAGAGAGAGACCAGAGAGAGACCAGAGGGAGAGCAGGGGGAGAGCAGAGGGAGACCAGGGGGAGACCAGGAGGAGACCAGAGAGAGGGACCAGAGAGAGAGACCAGAGAGAGACCAGAGATACAGTGGGGCAAAAAAGTATTTATTCAGCACCAGTTGTGCAAGTCGGCCTGAATTCAGACCATCGAGCAGAGCGGTGATGGTTTATGTCGATGTTACTGTAGCAGCTGTGAGTCCAAGACACATTTCCTACGGGACATAATACATTCATCTGGAATCTTGAAGTTTTCACACTTAAAAAGACGAGGCAGTCCTGTAATTTCCATGAGAGAGACAGAGAGACAGAGAGACAGATAGAGAGAGACAGAGACAGAGAGACAGAGAGATAGATAGAGAGAGACAGAGAGACAGAGACAGAGAGACAGATAGAGAGAGACAGAGAGACTATCAGAGACAGATAGAGAGAGACAGAGAGACTATGAGAGACAGATAGAGAGAGACAGAGAGACAGAGACTATGAGAGACAGATAGAGAGAGACAGAGACAGAGAGACAGATAGAGAGAGACAGAGAGACAGAGAGACTATGAGAGACAGATAGAGAGAGACAGAGAGACTATGAGAGACAGATAGAGAGAGACAGAGACAGAGAGACAGATAGAGAGAGACAGAGAGACTATGAGAGACAGAGAGAGGGAGACAGAGAGACAGAGAGACTATGAGAGACAGATAGAGAGAGACAGAGACAGAGAGACTATGAGAGACAGAATGAGGGGAATAAAATCCAGAAAATGAGACTGTCTGATTTTTAAATAATGTGTCTGTAAATGATGGTGTAAAATAAGTATCTGGTCAAAAACAAAATAGTTTCTTATGTCCTCTTTGTTGGCAATGACTGAGCTCAGACGTTTCACAAGGTTTCCACTGTTGCTGGTGTTTTGGCCCATTCCTCCTGCAGATCTCCTCTAGAGCAGTGATGTTCAGAGACAGACTTTATTGATCCACAGGAAACTGCGTTGTCACAATAACTTGCATATTATTCCACAATAAAATATAAATAATAACAGTAAAGTAACAATCTAAAAATAAGAAAAATCACGAGATTTGTGAGATTAGAATATTCTGGATATTCTCAGGAGTTTGTGAATATGTACATTTACAGTATGAAACACAGACAGTACACATCTGTAATATACAATACAGTGCCTTGCAAAAGTATCCGGCCCCCTTGAACCTTTCAACATTTCGCCACATTTCAGGCTTCAAACATAAAGATATAAAAAATATTTTTTTTGTCAAGAATCAACAACAAGTGGGACACAATCGTGAAGTGGAACAACATTTATTGGATAATTTAAACTTTTTTAACAAATAAAAAACTGAAAAGTGGGGCGTGCAATATTATTCGGCCCCCTTGCGCTAATACCTTGTAGCGCCACCTTTTGCTGCAATTACAGCTGCAAGTCGCTTGGGGTATGTCTCTATCAGTTTTGCACATCGAGAGACTGGAATTCTTGCCCATTCTTCCTTGCAAAACAGCTGGAGCTCAGTGAGGTTGGATCCACAGATTCTCGATATCTTTATGTTTGAAGCCTGAAATGTGGCGAAATGTTGAATACTTTCGCAAGGTAATGTATATACAAGGACAAAGCAGATGTGTCTGTCACAGCAGGACTCTGGCCTGTGCACATGGTCCACACATGGTCCCATACATGGTCCACACATGGTCCCATACATGGTCCATACATGGTCCCGTACATGGTCCATACATGGTCCCATACATGGTCCCATTCATTCTTTCCTTTACACATATCAGTAGTCCTGGTCCCTTTGCAGAAAAATAGCCCCAAAGCATGATGTTTCCACCCCCATGCTTCACAGCAGGTGTTCTTTTGGATACAACTCTCCTCCAAACACAACCAGTTTTTACCAAAAAGTTTTACTTGGGTTGATCTGACCATGTGACATTCTCCCAATACCATGTGACATTCTGCCATTACCATGTGAAATTCTCCCAATCCTCTTCTGGATCATCCAAAGGCTCTGTAGCTCCAGACCTGGACATGTCCTGGGGGCGTAGTGTGTTACTGATGGTACCTTTGTGATTGATGGTACCTCTGTTACTGATGGTACCTGTGTTACTGATGGTACCTTTGTTACTAATGGCACCTTTGTGACTGATTGTATCTGTTTTACTGATGGTACATTTGTCACTGATGGTACCTGTGTTACTTTATTTATTTATTTAAAAAGGGACAGTGAACAATTAGAACATAAATGTTTCCATTTGATGAATGTAGCGGAGTTAGCCTGAGGCAGATACACATAGGGCAGACGCACAATCACAGACGTATTCCCACACACAAGCGCACAATCACACACACACACACACACACACACACACACACACACACACACACACACACACACACACACACACACACAGGTGGCGTCAGGACCTTTGGACCTATGGAGAGTGATCACATCTTTGCTCACTCTTTAAGTGTCTTTTCAGTTCCATCTTAAAGCCTCCCAGTGTAACACACGAGAAGGCAGAGAGGAAGAGGCCTTCACAGAGAAGGCAGAGAGGAAGAGCATCCCACTGTACAGGCCTTCAAAGAGAAGGCAGAGAGGAAGAGGCCTTCACAGAGAAGGCAGAGAGGAAGAGCATCCCACTGTACAGGCCTTCACAGAGAAGGCAGAGAGGAAGAGGCCTTCACAGAGAAGGCAGAGAGGAAGAGGCCTTCACAGAGAAGGCAGAGAGGAAGAGGCCTTCACAGAGAAGGCAGAGAGGAAGAGGCCTTCAGAGAGAAGGCAGAGAGGAAGAGGCCTTCACAGAGAAGGCAGAGAGGAAGAGGCCTTCGCAGAGAAGGCAGAGAGGAAGAGGCCTTCACAGAGAAGGCAGAGAGGAAGCGGCCTTCACAGAGAAGGCAGAAAGGAAGAGGCCTTCACAGAGAAGGCAGAGAGGAAGAGGCCTTCACAGAGAAGGCAGAGAGGAAGAGGCCTTCGCAGAGAAGGCAGAGAGGAAGAGGCCTTCGCAGAGAAGGCAGAGAGGAAGAGGCCTTCGCAGAGAGGAAGAGGCCTTCGCAGAGAAGGCAGAGAGGAAGAGGCCTTCACAGAGAAGGCAGAGAGGAAGAGGCCTTCACAGAGAAGGTATTCTCGTGGATCTAATTGAGTGTATTTCTCTGTAGTTCACAAATGATTTTAACCAATCAGGAGCCAGGCCATTTTGAACTTAGAAAACCAGACACAGGTTAGAAAAGCGTCTGAAGGTGCCTCAGAGGCTTTTTGTCTAAGATTATTAGTGCCTGTTTATGCACTGACTCTCGAGGTCTCACTACTGCTTCAGCAGCCCCCAACATGTGACACAGTACGATAAAGGCGAGAGAATAAGCACATGCATAAAGGTTGTAGGTGCCTCAGAGACAGGGTCTGATACGTCTGAAATTGCCAAGGTTGAATTGGAAAGTTCTTCTCATGTTTTTAACGTGTTTTTGAAGTTCATGTTAGAATCTTCTAGAGAAACCCCAAGATTTCTGTTTTCAGCAACATTTTCAATCTTCTGGTTCCTAATGTAAATGTTAGAGTTTGTATTTTGTGCTTTGGTTTGATCTGATGGTACCTTTGTCACTGATGATACCTTTGTCACTGATGGTACCTTTGTTACTGATGGTACCTTTGTCACTGATGGTACCTGTGTTACTGATGGTACCTTTGTTACTGATGGTACCTCTGTTACTGATGGTACCTTTGTTACTGATGGTACCTCTGTTACTGATGGTACCTTTGTTACTGATGGCACCTGTGTTACTGATGGTACATTTGTTACTGATGGTATCTCTGTTACTGATGGTAACTTTGTTACTGATGGTACCTCTGTTACATGGTCCCCGTCTAGTCCTGGGTGAGATGGTGGAGCCCCAGATGGAGGAGATTATCAGTGTCTTGTTTGTTTGTTCCACAGTTGATTTCTTCACAGCTGCTTACTTACTGCAGAGTCTTCCCAGCCTGGTGCAGGTCTACAGCTGCTTACCTACTGCAGAGTCTTCCCAGCCTGGTGCAGGTCTACAGCTGCTTACCTACTGCAGAGTCTTCCCAGCCTGGTGCAGGTCTACAGCTGCTTACCTATTGCAGAGTCTTCCCAGCCTGGTGCAGGTCTACAGTCTGTGGCACTTTGGTCTTCAAGAAGGAGCTACAGTCTGTGGCACTTTGGTCTTAAAGAAGGATCTACAGTCTGTGGCACTTTGGTCCTAAAGAAGGAGCTACAGTCTGTGGCACTTTGGTCTTAAAGAAGGAGCTACAGTCTGTGGCACTTTGGTCTTAAAGAAGGAGCTACAGTCTGTGGCACTTTGCACCATCCACTGTATAAAAGAAAAAGTTCAACTCAAAGGCAAACGTCTGCACAGAGTGTTTGAGTTGAAGGACTTCATATTTTACTGTTTTAAGTTTAAATTACGGCCACATTAAACCACTAACACTAAACCAGTTAATTTCCATCCTTTTTCTTCCCCTTAATCCATGTCTGGGTCGGGGGTGGCAGTCAGAGCACCAGCCCCTCACTGATCCTCCTGCAGGTGCTGAGTCCACAGAAGCTGAGATCTTTCAGCGGGGGCTTCAGGCAAAGTGGGGTTAAGTGTCTTGCCCAAGGACACAACGACAGTAGACATCAGTGGGAGTTAGGTCTCATGTGGGACTCGAACCCACAACCTTCAGGCTCAAAGGTTAATGCTCTACCAACTTTATCTGTTCTGTTCTATCAATTAGAAGACCTGAGTCCTAGCTAATACAAATCACACCACGCGCACAGCAAGCACACCCCACGCACACCATCAAACACTGTACACACCCAATCACACGCACCACACACACACACACACACACACACACACACACACACACACATACACTACACACGCTAAAGAAATTAGGGGCTGAGGCCTAACCTAAAAAATAAACACCACAAACAAAATGTGCAAACCAAACCCAAACAGGAACCATCACCAGAGAAATCCACCACCACGGTGTCCGACCTTCTGCCCCTACAAAACAAAAGCATGGTCACAATAGGCAGAGCAGGTGAACGGACAGTCAATCAAATAAAGACATCACGGCTTGAGGAGCATGGAAGGTGCAGTCTTTAAGTCTCTCGTGTCAACGTCTCTGGTTGCAGTGCTGGGATATGCGGGCCCTGGGTGCTGCGAGCGAAGCAGGGTGGGCTACACCAATCTCCAAACTTCAACAGGGGCGCGGGCAGCGAAGCGAACAGCAGGCAGCCCCAGCAGAGAGCAGGCAGCCCTAGCAGCAAGCAGGCAGCCCCAGCAGAGAGCAGGCAGCCCCAGCAGAGAGCAGGCAGCCCCAGCAGAGAGCATGCAGCCACAGCAGAGAGCAGGCAGCCCCAGCAGAGAGCATGCAGCCCCAGCAGAGAGCATGCAGCCCCAGCAGAGAGCAGGCAGCCCCAGCAGAGAGCAGGCAGCCCCAGCAGAGAGCAGGCAGCCCCAGCAGAGAGCAGGCAGCCCCAGCAGAGAGCAGGCAGCCCCAGCAGAGAGCAGGCAGCCCCAGCAGAGAGCAGGCAGCCCCAGCAGAGAGCAGGCAGCCCCAGCAGAGAGCAGGCAGCCCCAGCAGAGAGCATGCAGCCACAGCAGAGAGCAGGCAGCCCCAGCCCCAGCAGAGAGCATGCAGCCCCAGCAGCAAGCAGGCAGCCCCAGCAGAGAGCATGCAGCCCCAGCAGCAAGCAGGCAGCCCCAGCAGAGAGCAGGCAGCCCCAGCAGCAAGCAGGCAGCCCCAGCAGAGAGCATGCAGCCCCAGCAGCAAGCAGGCAGCCCCAGCAGAGAGCATGCAGCCCCAGCAGCAAGCAGGCAGCCCCAGCAGAGAGCATGCAGCCCCAGCCCCAGCAGAGAGCAGGCAGCCCCAGCAGAGAGCAGGCATCCCCAGCAGAGAGCATGCAGCCCCAGCAGAGAGCAGGCAGCCCCAGCAGAGAGCATGCAGCCCCAGCCCCAGCAGAGAGCAGGCAGCCCCAGCAGAGAGCAGGCATCCCCAGCAGAGAGCATGCAGCCCCAGCAGAGAGCAGGCAGCCCCAGCAGAGAGCATGCAGCCCCAGCAGCGAGCATGCAGCCCCAGCCCCAGCAGAGAGCAGGCAGCACCAGCAGAGAGCAGGCAGCCCCAGCAGAGACCATGCAGCCCCAGCAGAGAGCAGGCAGCCCCAGCAGAGACCATGCAGCCACAGCAGAGAGCAGGCAGCCCCAGAAGAGAGCAGGCAGCCCCAGCAGACAGTACCAGCAGTGAGCACAGCGCACGGCAAGGTGCATAGATGAGAGTGGGCAATAAGTGGGCTTATTTGCAGCTTATTTGTGTGTGGCTTCAAGACAGTGACGTTCAAGCTAAATATTAGATGCGGGATTAACAACTGTCCATTTTAGAAGCTAACGGTGAATCAACTGGGATTACCTGCTGCGAGGTGTCAGACAGCACACGGAAATGCATGCCGGTGGGCGGGGCCAAAGCAAGAGGCCAGAGGTAGAGGAGCAATCACAACAGTGCTTTTATGGGCTGACGGCCAGCACAAGCGGCCAATTGGAACTCGCCCTCGAATTAAGAGCCCGCCCACACCCCGTACTGCCACAAATGTAAACAGTGTAAACAGTGTAAACAGTGTAAACAGTGTGAACAGTGTAAACAGTGTAAACAGTGTAAACAGTGTAAACAGTGTAAACAGTGTGAACAGTGTAAACAGTGTAAACAGTGTAAACAGTGTAAACAGTGTGAACAATGTAAACAATGTAAACAGTGTAAACAGTGTAAACAGTGTAAACAGTGTGAACAGTGTAAACAGTGTAAACAATGTAAACAACCTTATGCCCAACATTTCTGAACCTCACTTTAAACATCCATCCATTTCCATCCATCCATCCATTTTCTTCCTCTTCATCCGTTGCCGGGTCGCGGGGGCAGCAGTCTAAGCAGAGACGCCCAGACTTCCCTATCCACACACACTTCCTCCAGCTCGTCCGGGGGGACCCCAAGGCGTTCCCAGGCCAGCTGAGAGACATAGTCCCTCCAGCGTGTCCTAGGTCTTCCGCGGGGCCTCCTCCCGGTGGGACGTGCCCGGAACACCTCCCCAGGGAGGCGTCCAGGAGGCATCCGGAACAGATGCCCGAGCCACCTCAACTGGTTCCTCTCGACGTGGAGAAGCAGCGGCTCTACTCCGAGCTCCTCCCGTGTGACTGAGCTCCTCCCCCTATCTCTAAGGGAGCACCCAGCAACTCTGCGGAGGAAGCTCATTTCGACCGCTTGTATCCGCGATCTCGTTCTTTCGGTCATTACCCAAAGCTCATGACCATAGGTGAGGGAGGGAACGAAGATTGACCGGTAAATCGAGAGCTTTGCCTTTCGGCTCAGCTCCCTCTTTACCACAACGGTCCGATACAGCGACCGCATCACTGCGCACGCTGCACCGATCCGCCTGTCAATCTCACGCTCCATTCTTCCCTCACTCGTGAACAAGACCCCGAGATACTTGAACTCCTCCACTTGAGGAAGGACCTCTCCACCCACCTGTAGAGGGCAAGGCACCTTTTTCCGGTCGAGCACCATGGCCTCGGATTTGGAGGTGCTGATTCTCATCCCAGCCGCTTCACACTCGGCTGCAAACCGCTCCAGTGCATGCTGCAGGTCCTGGTTCGTTGGAGCCAACAGGGCAACATCGTCCGCAAACAGCAGAGATGAAATCCTGTGGTCTCCGAACCGGACCCCCTCCGACCCCTGGCTGCGCCTAGAAATTCTGTCCATAAATACATTGAACAGAACCGGTGACCAAGGGCAGCCCTGTCGGAGGCCAACATTCACCGGGAACAGGTCTGACTTACTGCCGGCAATGCGAACACAGCTCTGGCTCCGGTCATACAGGGATCGGATGGCCCTCAGCAGAGGACCTCCGACCCCGTACTCCCGGAGAACCCCCCAAAGGACACCCCGGGGAACACAGTCGAACGCCTTCTCCAAATCCACAAAGCACATGTGGACAGGTTGGGCGAACTCCCATGAACCCTCGAGTATCCGATGGAGAGTATAGAGCTGGTCCAGTTCCGCGACCGGGACGAAAACCACACTGCTCCTCCTGGATCCGAGATTCGACCATCGGCCGTAGCCTCCTCTCCAGTACCTTGGAGTAGACCTTACCGGGGAGGCTGAGGAGTGTGATCCCACGATAATTGGAACACACCCTCCGGTCCCCCTTCTTGTAGAGAGGGACCACCACCCCGGTCTGCCACTCCATTGGCACCGCCCCCGATCGCCACGCGATGTTGCAGAGACGTGTCAGCCAAGACAGTCCTACAACATCCAGAGACTTTAGATAATCAGGGCGGATCTCATCCACACCCGGAGCCTTGCCACCATGGAGGCTGCCAACCACCTTGGTGACCTCAGCCAGGGAGATGGATGTATCCGCCCCAACATCCTCAGCCTCTGCCTCTGTAACAGAGGACGTGACGGGGGGATTGAGGAGAACCTCAAAGTATTTCTTCCACCGCCCGACAATATCCCCAGTCGAGGTCAGCAGCTCTCCACCCGCACCGTACATGGTGTTGGCAAAGAAATGCTTCCCCCTCCTGAGGCGCCGGATGGTTTGCCAGAATCTCTTCGAGGCCGACCGATAGTCATGCTCCATGGACTCTCCAAACTCCTCCCAGTCCCGGGTTTTTGCCTCTGCAACAGCCCGGGCCGCGGCACGCTTGGCCTGCCGGTACTGGACAGCTGCCTCAGGAGTCCCCCGAACCATCATGGCTCGATAGGACTCCTTCTTCAGCCTGACAGCATCCCTTACTGCCGGTGTCCACCACCGGGTTCGGGGGTTGCCGCAGGGACCAGCACCAGAGACCTTGCGACCACAGCTACGAGCCGCCGCATCGGCGATTGAGGCAGAGAACATGGTCCACTCGGACTCCATGTCCTCCTCCTCTGCCGGGACCTG